TGGACACGATGAGCTGGCACCGCTTGGACCGCATGCCGAGGACGGCCACGCCAAAGTCCATCGACATCGAGCGCACGAAGAAGTTGGTCGTGGGCTTCACCAAGGCCTTCACCGTAATGACCTGATTGTTGGACGCGTCCTGAATGTTCTCGATCACCAGCTTCTCGTTGAACGCACCTGGGCAAATGAGAACGAGTTTTTTTCGGTGAGCTCCCGGCCGTGGCAAGGGACGAGAGGCGGAGAGGTTGTGGTACCCGTGATGGTCGGCTTGAAGAGGAAGTGGAGCTCTTTCCTGCGGTAGGGACGGATGATGCCCATTCTGTCGGCCTTCGAGATGATGAGGTCGAGCGAGGCAATCGAACCGCTCTTCTTCACTCGGTAGACGAGCGGCACTTCGGACAAGTTGTTGATGACCAGCGTCTTCTGCGGGTGCTTCGTGTGCTTGAACACCGTGCCAAAGTTGATGTTCTTCTGGGCCAGCTCCATGATGGAACGGCAGATGTTGGCTGTCACCATCAGATCGCGAGGCGGGATGACGCTCTCGGAAGTTTCCGACACCTTGCGCAGGGTCGCTCGGTCGTAATCTGTTCGACGTCGAAGCACAATCAGCCAACCACATACCACACTGCCAACGCGCAGTGGAAGCGACGAAAGGGCAAGTGCTTACCGACGAGTCGGATGGAGATGGAGCCCTTGATCTTCTTGAGCTTGCCCTGCAGCCAGCCGCGCTTGGTGGGCGAGGGGCGGAAGACCGCGTAGACCATGCACTCCTCTTCGGGCAACAGGTGAAGCGATTTGCCCGTAAGAGGTACCAGTAGACCCTCGTTCAGTGCGCGCATCACACCCTTGAACCGCCTCTCCTGCGACATGATGTACTGCTCCTGTGGAGCGAACAGTGCACACGGTTTAGCGAGTGAGTGCCGTGCTCCAGAGCTCCTTAGATTCAATTCCAGTGACGGCCCAGAGACGAACCTCTTTGTCGGCTGTCAGGCTGTCGGGCAGGCTGCCGGTGTAGGAGAGGCGTCGCGTGAGCGATACAAGGTCGTTCGATTGGGCGGCGGCGGCGGCCGGCGCCTGCACGGTCGAACGGCTGCCGTCGTCGGAGAAATCAAAGTCGTCGCCCGATTCGAGCATTCGCTTGCGCTGCTGCTCCTGCTCGGATTCGGCCACCAGGATGGCGGCCTGCGACGGCTGATCAGCCCGGGCTTTCTTCTGGAGGACATCACCAGACCTGTTGGCGCACATCAGGAGCGCGTCAGAGGGCAGAGCCACATGAACACACTTGATGAAACCCATCACTCGGTCGTACTTGGTGTTGGTGCGCTTGGCAAGGGAAGCATCGGAGCGGTCGCTCTTCCGCGAGTCGGCGAGATCGAGATATCTGGCGGTCTGGGCGTCGGAGTCCCTCGATGCGTCGCCGCGCGGCTGGAGTTGCATGCGACTCTCGTGCTCCTCGATGCGCTGCATCAGTTGCTCGGTCTTCGACTGCGGCGACTGCGAAAGAAAGGACGATGCACCCTGCTTGCAGAGCTGAAACAAAAGAACGGAGGACCCAAGCATTGTTTCAATGATGTGCGAGAGTGATGTGCGAGGGCTGCCGAGAAATCGCGTACTGTGATTTCATCTGCCAGCGAAGTCTTGAACTCGAGCTTGAGGTCCTTGCCACTGACGTTGCGAATGAGGAAAGTGCGAACCTACCGAGAGGGCGTTAGCTCACTGTTCGCGAGGCAACGAAGAGATATGACACAGTCCGGATGGGGACAGGGGGAGTAGGTACCGCTGGCGAGCCGACGATGACGTTTTCAAAATCGAGATAATTATGGGAGTAGGGAGTGATGAGGTGATAGAAGACCGAGTGGAAGGTGATGCGGAGAGGGTCGACGTTGTTCGCCCTGACCGAAATGAACTGCTCGTTGCTCTTGTTCTTGGTGTTGACGAACGTAATCTCCTTTCTGAACAGGTATTGTTGCAATCACGTGATTGGATTGGTGAAGTTAGTCCCACATGCGCGCATGTGTTAGCTCAACTACTGTTGAATAGGCCGTACCGATAGTCGGGGTTGATCTTGCGAGGAACGAAGTCCACCTTCAGGTCGGCGGACTGACGCGGAGGGATGGTGATCTGCCTCTGTCGGAAGGTGACCACCTTGGACTGGTAGTTCAATGCCACCTTGGCGGGCAGGTCGGAAAGATTGACCAACTCGACGACCGCCGACTGTGGAACGAGCGAACGAGCGGATGGTGAGCACACGGACCTGGCTCTCCTCAGCGAATAAAAGACAAGAAAGCAAAGAGAAACGTTACCCTCCACGACCCGACGTCGCAATCGCCCAGATTGATGTCCGTGCGCGGAACGTAGACAAAGGAGGTGCAGACCTTGGCCGTTCCCACGACTGACTTGCGCGTGTGGACCTGGAAAATGGAAACAGCCAAGGATGAGCGCACACCGATGCGCAGAGGAGTGCTTGCCAAGAGCCAAGTGTGGCGGTACGCAACCTGGCCTTCACGGTTCTTGCACGTGAGATCGATTTGGAAGCTGCGTCGTGAGAGGGTCGCCAGACGGTTCACCGCCTCACTTCCGGGCACGATGGTGGACGATGCCAGCACCTAATTGGTTAGAAAGGGTGCTTGCATCAGTGAACCAGGCCTCGGCGATTAAATTTGCTAAGAGGAGCAGTGCTTCACGTACCTCTTCGGGCTCCGGATTGTACCAGACCTTGATCGTTTTCTCAGCACCAGGTCCGAGCGAAATCTCTTCGATGCGCGAGTGTCGGACCACCTTCGTCTTGGTACCGCTGGTTGGTGCGTTCTCCGGAGAGGAGGAAAGTGGGTCTTCCGGGTCGTCGTTGCCTGTCAAATGGTCGGTCGGGGGGTGAATAAAAGATACGGCCGCAGCACGAGCACAAGCCGGCAAGGAGAAACTGAGCAGTGGACAGGGAGCGAAGGAGCGAGTACCGTTCGTGTCGGCAGTGTCGGCTTCCGAGTCGGAGCTCGAGTCGGAATCAGAGTCGTAGGCCTCGTCCGCGGCCGTGCGCTGGCGCTCGTTCTCTTGCTGGTCGTTTTCGGTGATGAGATCGAACGAGACCTCGTGCGAGGTGTCGCTGTCGAAGAACACCTCCATAGTGTCTTCGGTGACGTTCTTCACCGTGAGTATCTGGTACACGGGAACGCTGGTGTAGCAATCGCCAAAGTCGAGCTTGGCCACGCTCAGCATGATCGATTTCTGATTTGAGAACGATGAAGGGCGGGAGGGAGTGTCAGCTGCCTAAACAAACACCAATGCCAGACTGGTAGGCCCCAAAACAAAGAACGCGTAAGCGTACCGGCCGCAGTTCAGAGACGACGGAAGAGTGAATGTTGATAAAATGCACGCTGTTCGGGTCCTTGACGTTCTCGATGCGCACGACGTAGGAAAAATTGCCCACTTCAGCGGGCCGGTAGGTGACTCGAATGGTAATATGCGAGAAGCTCGGGATCATGTGATCGCGCACTGTGCAGAGCGTTCAGATCAGCCACACTGTTCACTGTGGACGAAGATAAAGGACACCTGCAATCGAAAGCCATGACAAACCTGCAGAGCCTGTGTCATAGTCAACGAACTCGAGAACCTTGTCCTTGCTTGAGGCCCCGTGGTGCACCTGAACGAACGGATCCTTGATGAGCGCTGTGCACAAGATTAGACATCTGAGGGGAGGCTAGGGTGTTGTACGGTGTCCGTCTTGATGCCGAACAGCAGTGGGATCTCGGAGTGGTTGCGGATCGTGAAGTCCTTGACGTAGCTGCCACCAACAAGGCAGTTGTCGAAGTTGAAATCGGTGGCATCAACTTTCATCTCCAGCTTGCAGACCTTGGCCAGCAGGGTGAGCACGGTCTAATACGCCACAGAGGCAGAGAAAGCGGTCAGCGCACAGCAAGGGGGTGGCCACTGCAGCAACGCGAAGGTGTACGACGTACCGTCTGAGTTCGTGCATCGCCCTTGAGTGGCCGAGCAGTGATGGTGATCTCACCCTTGGCCGTGTAGGAGGTGCGAGTATCGTGAACCACCTCGTCTTCGTCCTGGCGGGAATAGGGTGAATAATGAAAGGATCAAAAGAAGACAACTCCTGCTCGCCTTGGGTGCATACCTCGCGATGAGCGTCGGCATCGGGTATTTGATTGATGGGAAGAAAAGAGAGGATGATGGTTTTTCGCTCAAGAGGCCCAAGCGTGAGTTCGTTGATGCGGTTGATGGTGTTGAAGAGTTGGTTGTGATCCTCTTCCTCGAGTTCGCCTTGAAGGTTGGCATTGGTAAGCTGGAAACCAACCTGCTCGTCGGGCAGAGTAGATGCGAGGGTGAGATGCAGAGGCGACGAAGGGGAGCGATTGACAACGTCGAATTTTCGCAGCACGTGCACATCTCGTAGCACAACTGAGCCGAGATTGAGCACACCCTCGGGCAGATCGACGTCCAGAAAACGTTCTTCATCATTTTTGCCTCTTGTGTTTCGTCTTTCCCTCAGCTGCTGCTCTTCTTTGTCTTCATCTTCGAAATCTCGGGAGTGATGGCGGGGGTAGGGGTTGGCGCGGGTGTAGCGCGGGGCGTGGAAGGTCTCCTCGGTTTCTTCAAAGGTGCGCACGTTCCTTGAGGGCTGAACAGGGATGCTCAAGCTCTTGGAGGACTCAGGCTTCCCGCCTCCGGCTCGGCCTTCCATCTCTCCGATTTCCAACACAGCACGCAAGCTTGGTTGCTTCTCTCTTTTTGCTGGCGACCAGGAAATTCTATTTCTTTTAATTTCTGCAAACCAAAATCAGAGTTGTCCGAGTGGGCGCTTTGAATTTTAGTTTTCAAAGATAAAACTTCATTCGCTGATCCACAGAACGCTCTCACAAGCGGGAGATCTTCTTGTTGCTGTTCTTGTGGCGATATGAATCCCAACTCATCACCCAGGCGCTTGGGACCACAAGATCTCGCACTACCAACCAGAGCGTGTACATTGATTTAATCCAAAATATTTATTCGAAATGGAGCGAAATGAGAAGCAATTGAATGAAGGCGAGGCGGCGCAGATCGACACCAGCCAGGGCTCGTCCACGCTCGAGCACTTCTTCCAGGAGACCCCCATCACGCTGGCAGACATTCGATCTACGCTCATTCGCTTGGAGGAGACCATCATCTTCGCTCTCATCGAACGCGCCCAATTCCGCGCCAATCCGGCCGTCTACCGCAAGGATGAGGAAACGGAAGTGCGCCAAAAGGGCAAGAGCTTCCTCGACGTCTTCTTTGGGCAGATCGAGAAGGCCCATTCGCTGATGCGACGCTACACGAGCCCAGACGAGCATCCGTTCTACCCCGAGGAGCTCGAGCGGCCGATCCTGCCCCTACTCAACTACTCGGCCATCATTCGCCCCAACAACATCAATCTCAACCCCAAGGCAGGCACCCTCTTCCCCTCTCTTTCTCTTTCAGTCTGCACCATGCACCACGCTGCGCGATCGTGGGGATGGTTAGTATGGCTCCATGGTCGGCGAACCGCTGACTCCTCCTCTCTTTTGACGCACCGCACAGATCATGCGGC